ATTTTGCACATTTCTTTTTTTCCATTTCGATTGTAGTCCCCGCGGGTTTCCCATCACCAAATCACCCATGTGCCACCACCATAGTCCCGTGCATTTCCCTCCCTTCCCCCCCCACCCCTTTAGGTGCCTGTCTTTTTAAATGAGAGCCATCCTAAAGGTAGGAAGTGATACCTGCTTGTGGTTCTGAGTTATATATCCCTGATGACTCATGTTCAACATCTTTTCATGTGTTGATTCATTACCTTTATGATTCTGGAGAGTGTCTATTCAAACTTCCTACTTTTTGTCCTTGCTGTGTATGTGAGCTATAAGGGTTAGTCTACTGGTTTTCTTGGTCTGGCCAAGTCATTGCCAGACCATGACCATCATCACGGAGATCATCTTGATCAGGAAGTACTGGGACAACCCAGTTCCCCAGTGTACCTGGAACTGGAGCAAGGGGCCACCCCTGCATTGCACCCTTGTGTCAGTCTGTAATTGGACAGGATATGGACAGAAAGTGGTCATTTGGCTATGAATTACTGCGTCGGAGGTGGCTTGCCTTGTATCCTTGAGCTCTTAATGTCTGTGGTGACACAAACTGCCTATTGTCAGAATAACAAGGGGACTATCGACAGAGTCCCGCAATGTGTTTTCATTGTAGCCTGTTGTTCACTTTCATAAGTCTTTTCACAATTATTTCTGTGATAATATATTTATTATCTTTCTTCCCTTAGATAGTGAAATCTTTGGGGCAGGACCACAGTTATGTGTTCTGTCACTTTATTACTAGTCTCTAATACAGTATGTTCTTCATAGTAGGCAACTAAGCCAATATTTGGTGGGTGGAGAAATGACTGTAAAACACTAGTAGTTAGGGACAGAAAGATACACTCTGCTTGAAAGTGAGTGACTCACTTGAAATCATTAAGTAAAGAGTTAGTTGTTCAACAAATAGCTCATTAACTACTGAATTGCTCTCTAATGATTTTCACTGTCACTCATGCCATGTCCACCTTTTACCTCTCATTTCCAGCGATCTACAACTACAATGCCTCTCAAGATGTGGAGCTCTCCCTGCAGATTGGAGACACAGTTCACATCCTGGAGATGTATGATGGTAAGTCTGGATGGCCTTCTGCCAGACTTAAAAACCATGGAAGTTACTTATTAATAAGGCACTTCGAGCAAACATCAACATGTTTTACTTCCTGAAGTGAAGCTAGTAAAAATTCAGGAAGTACTTGGGTTATATGATTTTGTACTGCGGGTGATTTCAAAACAGCCTGCTGAATGCATAAGTGCAAACATGCCCAGACACCGGAATAAGAATGTGAAGGTGGTGGTTGTAGAGTCTCAGTCACTGGATGCAGGAGACAGCCTTCTCCAGATCAGGGCTGTCTCAAGGGAGACATGTGGGTCACTGGGCTGGTGGCAACTCAAAGAAAATGCTCCTGATTAAGGGGCTTTTGTTGTGCGGTCCTAAATGTTGCCATGTTGGGGGAGAAATAAGGCTGGGACTTACTGATGTTGCTGAGATTTTGTCAGAGAATTAGGTCAGGACAGCAGCAGGCCCAGAAAGCCTACTAGTATATTTCCTCCAACTAGGTCAGGCTGGGGGAGGTGGTTCCAGCTAACCTGTTGGCGGCCTATGGGGAAGTGCTAAGAACTCTGCATTTCTCTAAAAAGCAGAGGTTGTGTCTGTGTCTACCCAACCCACCTTCTAGGTCCAATTCAAACATTTTAGAATTCCTCCACTTATCCACATTTCTAATCCAACCCATCTAGACCAGAGCAGGCTATTGAGGTTGACGATGAAAACAAAGAACAAATTTTGGACCCATTTTCTCTCTTAAAATTGGGGCAACAATGAATGGGAGAGCTTGGCACAATTTCTCATGAAATGAGCCTTGTTAGAACAGAAATTTAGGACTTTTAGGGTCTCTCCCCATGTAAATGCTTATGAGGATAGGAGGATGCAGCATAGAGGAGAGGAGATAGGCAGCCAGGAAGAAAGTAAGCTATCTGCTAATTGTACACAGGACTCTAGCATTATTGATCTGCCCATTACTTTCGGGCAGAGGGCTAAAAGTACCTTTCTCCTTTCCACACAACTCAAAGGATAATGATGCAGCTTCCAGGGGAAGGAAAAGAGAGGGACTGTTCCCACTCTGTCCTTTCTTTTTTGCTTTCTTTACCACCCCGCAGTTCCAGACAAACATTAATCTTATGACCTTGCCTCTCACCAAGACACTAGGACAGTCCAAGTATTTTCTTCGGACCTCTTTGCATATTGAAACCATTGTTCCCTCAAACCTTACTAGGTTGTATCTCAGATTAATCCACTCTATCCAGTTTCTGTGCACATACATTTTTCCATTGTATAGGTGAAAGGATATTTCAATTTTTTAGTTCTTCAATGTGGGCTTGAAAAGAATGAGTATTTGAGAATTTGTGAGGTTTGGGGATCTACAGATAACAAATTGTGATTTCTTTGTTGCTTTTCTCAAATTTGCTATATGTTGACCTTTTCCCTATTTTTTAAGTTACTGAAATAACTGGTTAATGTTACACCATGATTGCAGTTTATATGTCTTTACAGTGATGTCACATTTTTTACTTTGTATATTCTCAGACCTATTTTTAGTTGCATACAGTTTTAGAATTATTATATTAAATAATTCCAACTTTTTCTTTATGTTTATTAAACCCTTTATCATTATCTTCCTCGTAATAATACTTTATGCCTTAGTTTATTTTGTCTGAAAGCCCTCTCATTGGCAGTCTAAGAATCCAGTTTTTGTCCTTCTGGCTCAATGAGGCCATCAGATATGCTGCTCAGCTTCTCAACCACTTAGAAAGCTTTTCTTAATTCAGCAGATGTCCCGAGATAAAAACCACACCAAATGTTGGCCTCATCTTTATACTTTTGATATTTTTTAGAATACAACCTGCTAACCATTGACTTTACAATGTTAGCTCTTCTGTGTATATGTGCATTTTCTAAGTGTCCTGTGAGAGGGAAGAGTAGAGAGCCCATCTAAAATAAGGCAAATGACATCTTTTAAATACATATTTATTTTTTTTTTTATGTGATCCCAACATAGTATTTGAAAGAGCTGTCTGATACACTTTTTCCTCATAGGATCCACATTAATGGTAATTTTAAGTATGTGCTTTCTTGATGTTTTACCAGGCAGTGTCCCGACTAACCAATGAACATTTTTAACTAAAGGTGAGAGGCCTACAGACCAAACTAAGATGGTCATTTAACTTGTTTGCATGCACATATAAATATAAACACACACACACACACATACACACACACTGGCATTCCATACCAGTACCCTCCAGAGCTTCAGTTCAAAAGCCACAGTCCCCCAGAGTATTGCCACTGTCACAGTAGTATGCTTGCCACAGTGCTAAGAAGTCTCATGAAACTCTTGCTTTATCAGTGCTACATCTTGAATATGATCAGTCAGGTACTGTAGATCCTGACAGCGGGAAGCTGATTTTCTTGTTAATTGCTTCAATATAGTATTTCCAGCTGTGGTACTTTCTCATCTCAAAGAGAGATGTCAGTCAGTACCCTCTCTGTAAAAGCAGACATGTGTTAGGGTGTGAACGGACAGATTAAGAATATGCGCCAACTCAGCATATTCCTCACCAAGGGACATGTCAGCGATTATTATATTTCCAGAGATTATTATATTGGATTGCATTAATATTGTTAATTTTTAGAATTATTTTTGTATTAATGCCTGCCTTGCCAGATGCCATGACAGGTTCTTATATCTCCTAAGCACTTAGAATTCTTGGCTGGCTTCTCAAATTCCTTTAGTACTTCAGGCCCTTCAGAACTCAGTGAGGGCAGGGCTGCTTTGCAAACATTAAATACCATGGAAATGCTGAGTAATAACTTGTGTTCTATCCGCCTTTCCTATCTCTACTTCAAAAAAATAATAAACAAGATGGAAACAGCCAGAGTACTGTCAGATGGAATTTAAGAGTAATGCTGGCTCTGTGTCCCAGCCTCTGGGTTTTTGCCTTTAGCTTCTTGTCACATCTGACTCCTGGGCCACCCTCTGCACTCTACTCCACCCATCTTTGAGATATTTGTATAGCAAATCTGTGTGTGTGTTTCTGATGTGGACATGAGTTTACCTCTCTGAAATCCAGACTTGACTTAAGATTTTTCTGTCCATCACCTACAGCTGAATCCCACTTAAAGTGTTCCTTTTGCTGTTTTCTGCCCTTTGGTTCATGAATCATTTTGAAAGTGGTAGCTCCTTGAAGGCAAATCCTCTCCTTTATCCATAAGGTATGTCTTGCATACACTGGGTGCTCACTGAAAGTCTGTTAATGAATGAAGATAAAGTAGTAGACCAAGGCAAACTTACTAGTAAGACAAATTTTTTGGAGAGTAAAAAGTGTGTGTATTGGAGTTAGGGGTGGGGGTGTCACCCCATGAATTATAGAAAAGAAACACCTTTTGCCTTCCATGAGGGAAACACAGGGGATCTAACATTTCTCAGCCTTTGTAGATAGCGAACTTTTAAGGATTTGGTTATTGTATATACAAAGGTACAAATTTTTGTGTGGACATATGCTTTCATTTCTCTTGGGTATATTATTAGGAGTAGAATTGCCAGCTCAGTTGGTTGACTTTGTGTTTACTCTTCTGAGAAACTCCCATACTGATTGCTTGAATTTTGGCTCCATAAAAGGAGACCAAAGTCTATAAAAGAGAGAGCTTCGATCACTAGTGTCTTTGTCATCCTGCCCGTGCTTGCTACTGAAAGATGAGGAAAGGGAGTAGAATTGACTGAGATGTTATATTTGGCTCATCCTTTATCAATGCCTGAGTATTATTTGCCTTCAGTGACTTTACCGGAACGGAAATCCTTAAGGATCGAGTCAGGTGTTCTTGCTCGTCTTCCTCTTTGGCCCTGGCCTGCCTGTAGACATTGCATGTCTTACTTTCCTTAACCATGTAAGGGACTTGGTAGAAAACTGTTCTGGACTTTCAGTGTCCTTTTGCACTACAGATCCACTCTCCTGGCTAAAAAGCATGGCATCTGGGGATCCCAGCAGTGGCCATTTACTCCTACAGCTACTTGCTACACACTCTGCCATGCGTACTTACTGCCACAGTTTGACACACTGCGATCACCCGAATGACAAAACAACAAGGTTCCTGCTCACGTCCTTGTTGCTTTCCTTCATTAGAAGGATAGAAAAAAGCAAGTGAATAAAGTGAGTAAACAACAACAACCAAGAGTCAGGTACTTATAAGTGCAGTGGGAAGGAAACGATGGTCCACAAAGACCAGGGGTGGGTGAGGTAAAAGAAAGGAGTGGAGGACTACTGAAAGGAGATGGTTTTGTTCCCATCTAGGTGGAGCAAGACTAGGTGTGCAGGACACTTACATTTTCTAAATATTTATGATCATTTCATCTAAAATGATGCCACTCTTTGATTTCAAACTGCTTTCAAAAATAAAGTTTTAGCATCCTCGTTACCAAAAGTCCTCCACATTCCAATCACAAGTAATCTCATGCGCACAGCATATTGGCCCACCCGTGGGCACTGGCGTCCTCGGTGGTTCCTCATCGGATAACTCATTTTCAGAAGCCACCCGCAAGCACGAGAGAGAGGGTGGCTGGCATCAACAGTGATTTCTGGGAACAAACATAACACCTGTGGAAATAACTTAAACGAGATGATGTCGCAGATATCCCGTACTCTACAAGGGTATGCAGAGCGTTAAATTTCACATTATTTCAGTATGGCTTGTAAAGACCTACAGGGAAGCACAAATGACTACATTGGAAGCAGAGGAAACGAACAACCTGAAGAGCTGAAAGAAATAAGAAGCATTTGTGTATATACAGGAGATCCTCCTCCATATGGCTGTTTCCTCTGTCTAGAGTGAGGCCTCCATCAATTTTTAAAATGCACCTTAATCAAGAAACTCCAGACTTCCTGATAGCATGAGAGGAAGTGAGAATGGAGTAGGAATTGAGCATGACATGCTTCAGTCTCATCTTTATAGAGCAGGCCTTCTTTGAATAAGAATGTATGGCAGCTTTACGACAGGTAGGTTAAGTGACATGGCCC